TGTCATCAGCAGTAATCTTGGAGTTGTGTTTGATTAGTCCCTGACACCAATCTAAAGCAGAGCTCTACACGTTTTTACAATCTCAGAGATTTTAGTTGATTGAGTTTCTAAAGAGGAGCTTGCTCTGCACTAATGTAAATGTGTGTAATCCTGTATCCACTTTGGTAATTTGAATCTTTCTCACTCAGTAAATCTGCCCTGGTCAAACACCGTCCCGTATCACCGCGGTACTAACGCTCCTGCCACAAGTACAACTTCACAGCTACTGTCACTGTTTACAATTAGAGTTTGTCACCTACAGAGCATGTCGCTGTCAGGATCGCAGCTGTGTGGTTTCTCAAGTTCTTCGACTTTAAGATGAATGTTTGTTCCACGGCCCATCGATGCGGGGTGATGACGTTTCCAATGGCCCTCAAACAGTGCTGGTAAACTTGCTGTCATTTCCTGACAGTCAGTGGCGGCTGGACGATCCACATTCACCCAACATGGACTGGAATTTCCTTACATTTGTCCAGAGACTTTGCAAATAATCGCACCACGAGAAAACTGCTCTGGCTTGGTCAGTAATAATGTCTCTGCTTAAACAATCTGACCCACTCTGGATGAATTTTTACAAACTGCCCATCGTTTATAAGGACAAAGCTTTTCAAGCTGGTTTAAAAGAGCAACAATTGCTCCTTGTTCTAACATCTACAGATGGGTTCGTCCTCGTTGAGTCACTCTGTGCTGCACTATTGTCAGTAGGGCAGCACAGCAGTGAAAATACATTTTAACGGCCAATGAACAAAATATTTAAACAGCTGAGTGCAAGTAAAAAATATGTTGAATGGTTAAATTCGAACGCAAGTGTTTGAATCCAAAGCTTTGTGCAGACACATTTGTCAGTCAGCCTTTACCAAAGAGAAAACCAAGCCTTTAAACTTGAGCTGTAACAATTTGACCCTCAAAAAATGAACATGAAAGCAGCAAAGCCCAAAGAAAATTACAAATTACAGTGGAGAAGGACTCGGCATCATCATGTCTCCCAATCAAGTGCAAATTATTCACACGGATGATCTGTGAGGAAGGAAAATCACCACAGCTCCACGTAATCATTCAAATCACTCTTCACAAAGAACTTATCAGCCCTGAAGGGAACCTTTCAGAGTTTAAAGGACAGACATTACACATGAGTAGGGTAAAATTTTTACCTAACAGAGCTCATTAGAAAACTCTGCCAGTTGATGACCTACTTTAAGGACATATTTTTTT